GCACTGTCCGTGTCTCCCCCCCCCCCCCCCCATCTCAAGCATTACATTATCTCCTTTCCATCACTTCCCTCGCCACTCTGTTCAGCTGTTGTGCCCAAGAATGTACCCTTTATTTCACATGGCGAGGGAGAGCATGTGACTCATTTAAATTACTCTCATTGACATTGCTGATGATTATCTCTGTCATTTGTGGTGGGGAGACCGCTCTAGCCCTGTGTGAGATCCTACTACATGGGTGGGCAATTCATTTTCTCAAGGGGCCACATGAGAAACTGGGACTGTTGTGGAGGGCCGAACTAATAAACTGAATTTTGCTGAATATTGTATCGCTTTATAAAAAGCAGTAAATTATGATTTTGATTGGCTGCTACTGGTAAGAATACATGTTACAATAAGGCTATGAAAATATGGAGTAGATCAAATATAGCAGTTAAAAAAACGCCAATCATTATATCACTCATTTTATTTTTTAACATACTTTTGACCTTCAGAAAAATAAGGCACGCACATACATAAATTGATAAAAAAAATCTTATAGGGGGCGCTCTGATGGAGGCAACTAATAATTAGTTGTCGACATTAGAGTGTCCCCTTAAATCGATTGTCGCCATCAGAGTGCCCCTTATTTTCATAGTTAATGTAAGGGGACACTCTGATGGGGTCAGACAGTGTAAGTGGGCACCCTGATGGGGAAAAATAATTATTAATATAATACATTGTTTGTTCCGTTTAGAGTTACTCTTTTTTATATTATTGTCACCACATACCTTTTTATATTTCTACCTTGATAGGCCAGAGACGGAAGCCGGGAGGTTGAGAAGGCTGCAGGGTAGGACGAAGAAGATGCTCTTTCGTCCTCCTATAATGCTGGGGGGCGGGGAACACATTTTACGTCACTGGTTGCTGGAGCTGCCCAGCGTTCCTTACAACCAATGACTGCAGAGAAGGTGGACAACTGATGTCATTGGTTGATAAGACGCCAGCGGTCCTAGCAACCTTGGAGGCCAGCGCATTCACGGTCAGCCAGCCATAACCGAGTGCAGGTCAGTGATCATGGTCCAGACAGAGTCGCCACTCGGTCCGTGTCTGGACCGTGGTCCGCACAGGGACTGCCAAAGGACCAGATGTGGTCCCGGGGCCATAGAATGCCCAGGTCTGCCTTACTAGATTGACAAGCTTAAACCAGGCTTTGTTTTTTTTTACTTCCATGAGCTGAATGGAGCAAAGGAAAGAGAAGTATGTGCTGCTGGGGTGAAAAGCATTAAAACAATTCTATTGCTGTGCCCTGCAAAATGGAGTAAGGGCTTGTTTACACCATGTACGGACCATGCCCAGACCATGCGAGTTTGTTCTCGGACTAAAAAAAGCATCTCAATGTATCCCTATGGTATTTCTGGACTCTGTTCACACCAGCGCAGTCCATTCTGGACCAGACACAAAAATAGTGCTGGTCTCACTTTCTCTGGTCTGAAATGCACTGTAAAGCATGGAAACGCATCGCAAACGCACTGGACCGCAGCTGAAAGCCCATTTAAAGCTAAAAAGAAAACCGCTCAAACGTGGTAAAACACGGCACCAATGTGGCAAAACGCATGCACTACATTCCAGATCTGGTCCAGGAGATGGTGTGAACCTAGCCTTAGTAGTACGCTGTTGATGTCTATATTTCACTAAACTTCCAGAGCACAGTTTTTAGACACTACACTCTTAGGGGATCCCAAATTGAATATATGTAAAACATATGTTATCATACAGTATAAGCAAAATTATATGAATCTGGTGCTAAATATGTATCAACTCCGGCTGTTTTACATTGGTTGTAACTTTCTTTATATTCTCTGTTTTACCTTCAGGTGAATATACTTGAGAAAACAGTTGGAAGAGTCGAATTCATCTCTAAGGACATCCAGGAAAAGCAACAGGGCCATGACAATTCCATCAAAAACAGTGAAAAGGAGCTTGATGTAGTTGGTATTATTCTTAAGAAACTTCAGAAGGATCTGACAAATGTCATTCAAAATGTGAAGGACCAAGGGGATAGAGATCTGGTCCTCTTTGACAAAACCATGAAGGAAAAATTCAATGAATTAAATAAATCAATCAACGAGGACATAGTTGACCTCACTGATGTACAGAAGTCAAACCAGGAAGAGATAAGCAACGTGAAGGCTGCACTAGCTTCCTTCGGAGATCTCAATTCAATCACTGATGAACTTAAGAGGTTAAAACAACTTTTCTCTGAGTTACAAGTTTCATTTAAGTCCAAGGAAGAGTCTATTGAGTGGCTGATGAACAATGCCATTAATATTGATACGCTTACCACCAATGGCAATGAAATCGCAGAGCTCAAAAGTCAGCATGACCTTCTAAAAGAAGATTTTGAGGGGCACCTTGCCACAGTAGTGGAGCTAAAAGAGAAATTGTCCTCAGATGATAAGTCCAGCCTGAAATCAGAATTGGACAGGGTTCTTAAAGACTTTGAACAACTTTCATCTTCTGTTGCAGAGATTGAAAACAATTATCTCTCTACCAACAATGATTTGCTTAAAGAAATTGAAACTAATAAAGATGGCATTGAGCTGAGGTTGACACCTCTTGAAAGTGCAATTGAAGCTTTAAATTCTGAAAAGTCTACTCTGAAATCTTTGGCACCCAGTTTTGAAGACTACAACAGGAGGTTGCACGCTGTTGAAGAAGCTTTTGCTGGTTCGAAGCACTTGAATTCTGGAATATCCGAAAGCCCCGAAGCAACTGAGACCCTGTCATTACTGAAAGAAGCTCAGGAAGTTCTATCCCAACAGGTCCAAGGGTTGAGATCTGTCATTGCCGACCTTCCAAGTGCTACTCCTGACATTGAGAAATTACAAGTGAAGGTCACAAGTGTCCTTGAAGGTCATAAACAACAGATTGAAGACCTAAAGTATGACTATGAACAGTGGAAGAATAACCTAGGCAATTCTGGGTCATCTGACCAAGTACATGAGGTTGGCTTGAAAACTTCCATCACAAAACTGGAATCTGACTTGAAGAGGTTGAGGGAGGCAGTGGATAGTTTGGTAGCATATTCTGTGAAAATAGAAAACCATGACAAAGATTTGGAATCTGTTAGAGAGTCTCTAGAAGACCTTAGAGAAAGTACCGATAAACTGCAAGTAAAATTTGAACAGATCCAAGAAAACGTATAGCGGCGCTCATTTTCTAAGAAGGAAAATGTAGGATTTTCAAAGTCTAGTTTTGAACTTGTTCTCATTAAAATGAATTTTTTTCTGTATTGTTTTTTTTTTTTTCCTCTTTGTGGTTGCATTTTATTCTTTTAGATATATTACAGGAATTTCAGGCAAAGCTACATTTTTTTAATAGCTGTTTTAGTTTTGGATAAATTATGACATGTTTATAAAAGTGACCACAGAATAACCACTGAATTGCAAGTACTGAAGCAGTAGTTATATATACAGAGGGGAATTTATCAAAACTGGAACAGACAGAATCTGGAGCAGTTGCTCATAGTAACCAATCAGCTATCTTTCATTTTCAAAACGTAACTGAAAAAACTGAAAGGAGAAGCAGATTGGTTGTGTGATGTTGGGGAGCTCACAGAGCACTCGCACAGCGTTTTTCCATTAATGAACAGTCTTTATTTTTCTTTCAAAAGGCAGACAATCAAGAAGTCCAACATAAAATAGCTTGCTGCAGCAGAATACATATATTGGCTCACCAATCACCGAGTTGTTCCATACACTCAGTGTCCCAGTCTTTTAATAGTTCTCTCTTGCATCACTGCTGCTCCGGCCTCAATCCTCAGGGCCACTGTCTGGTTCCCCCAGACAACCTCAATAACTTGCCAATACTCACAACAGGCTTCACAAACCCGCAGCACCCTGCTGCACTGGCCTCCACACTGACTCCCGGGTGGAGCTCTCCAGTCTCCCAGGTGGGGCCCTGAACACATTCCAGCACCCTTTTCATGAGGGATGCACACATGTGCACAATCAGGTGCTGGTTGCTACTAAAGCATGGACCCAGGAATGGAGATTTCATCCCACCCAGAGCTCTAAGAAATGTCCTGGCTCCAGGATCCCAACTATGAACCAGAAAACATGGAAAGGACTGAAAAGCCAGCTCTTTCCTGATACAAGCAATTGCTTCCTGGAGCTGCTCAACCTCTCTGGCTGAGAATCCTGGGTTACTTTAAGGCCCCAGAACACCGTGGCAATGCCACAGTTGCCATAGGCAACTGTTCCAGTTTTTTTTTTTTTAATCCCATATAGCAGCTAGGCAGGTCATGTGCAATTTATTTGCTTAGTATTTTTAACCACAGCGCTGTTCAGCTATAGGCCGTGATAAAAAAAAAGTCAGTTTTGAAAAAGATCACTGTTTATAATGTCATCCTCCAAATAAATTTTACATGGCCAACCTAGAAATTTTTGAGATATTCAAAACATAGGTAGTTTACGAATTCTTTACTGCGCATGTGTTAATATTCAACATCTTAGAAACTTATGCACAGCAGTTTCATTCCGGCAGGACGATTTCAACAGCTGAAAGACACATTGCAAAGTGACGAGTCATGGAGCTGCAACGAGAGCCCTACCACGCTATGATTTTCAAAGTTGGCGTGGACGAAGAACACTGTATGCAGAAGTTACACTCTGCATTTGGGGATGAAGCACCATCGCAAGCAACTATCTTCCGATGGTTTAGAGCTGGGGTGCCCACAGTTTTTGTGTTAAGATCTACTTTTCAAATGACGAGCTACATGAGGTCTACCAATGAAAAAAAACCCTCCCTCGCTCTCTCTCCCCTGGCTGTCTCTCCTTGCTCTCTCTCCTGGCGGTCTTTCCTGGTTGTCTGTCCTTGCTCTCTCTCCTGGTTGTCATTCCTCATTTTTTCTCCTGGCTGTCTCTCCTTGCTCTCTCTCCCTGGCTGTCTCTCCTCGCTCTCTCTCCCTGGCTATCTGTCCTTGCTCTCTCTCCCTGGCTGTCCTCGCTCTCTCTCCCTGGCTGTCTCTCCTCGCTCTCTCTCCCTGGCTAGTGGAGAGAGAGCTACCTAATAGGCACCCTTGGTTTAGAGAATTCAGAAGGGGCCTTGGTTCGCTACAGGGCGACGAACATACGGGAAGGCCCGCTACGGCAGTCACTACAGAAAACGTGGCCCAGAAAATGATAAATGAGGACAACCGCTCTCGTTGCAGCTCCATGACTCGTCACTTCGTAATGTGTCTTGTGACTGCTGGAATAGTCCTGGCGGAATCAAACTGCTGTGTATAAGTTTCTAAGATGTTGAATTTCAACACGTGCAGTAAAGAATTCGTAAACTACCTATGTTTTGAATATCTCAAAAATGTCAGAGTTACCCTCGTAGTTATAATTTATGACCCCCCCCTTCCTCCACAGATCCAGAAGAGGAGTCGGCCGGCTTACATTCCAGTGCGCCCTACATGTCCCGGCGTCCTGTCCTCCCGTGGTGCTCGTGTGGCCGACGTTGCACATGGGGTGTCCTGCACCTTCCATCTGCAGCGTCTGACACATTCAGCCGCACGAGCACCAGGGGAGCATAGCCGTAGCCAGCTCCTTTTGCGCCTGAGGCAAGAAAAAAAACAACGTTTTTTTACTGTATTTTTTACTAATTTTTGTTATTTTATTTTTATTTTTTTAAAATTTTCGGAATTTTTTTTTTTACTCTTGGGGGGGCTTCGGGGAAATATTAGGGGTCTAAAAAGCCCCTTGATATTTCCCTTTTAAAATAGAAAAAGAAAATGAGGACACATAGTCCTCAATCTTTTTTTCTGCAGCCTCTGTTCTAAATGAATGGAAAGCACAGAGGCTTCCCATTCATTCAGAAAATATTTACTATCAAGCAGTTTCTGAATGGGGAGGA